ATGATAATAGTTAATGTGTATATATCATTTAATATGTGCCAGGCACTGTTCTATGTACTTTATGTGTATTGATATATTTCATCCTCCCAACAATCCTATGAAGTAGGTACTGTTATTACTCTAAAGCACAAAAAGCTTAAATGACTTGTATAGTAAGTGAAAAAGCTGGTATTCTGGCTTCACTCCACACACTTAACTGCTATGCTCTACTGCACAGATTCAGAACAAATTTTGAAGGTACTGTTGCCAGATGTTACTGATACATAAGACGTGCTATGCAAGGTAAAGACAAGAATCAAAGATGATAATGCCATAATGGGATGAGGAAAATTGGAAAAGGATCACGTTTGGAGGGTGTTAAAGGAAGAAGCCTCCATTAAGTAACTGAAAGCAAAATCTGACTTGTGTGTGTGTTAAGCAAAGGAGAACTTTGTTTCTAGGTGAAGCCTCTGAAGAAAACAAACCACTGATATCATTTTGGGTTTATGGGAGTATGGAGCTGGGAAATGGTGGAATATCATAAGTGGGAGTGTTTAAGAACTTATTGACCTACAGCCACAGAAGTGTGGTCATTGGAGTGAGCTTGTGGCTGCTTGGTTGACTTTTAGAGGTACATGTCCTAGTAGGAAGCTGTCATTGATCTATTGGAATGACTGTAAAATCTGTTCTATTGCTACTTTTTACTGTGACCAAAGATCATTCCATCTCTTCCTAAGGGAATAAGAATTTGTTATTGTCAAGAAAGAAAATTTTAAAACTCTATTTAGGACATGTCAAGTTTGAGATGCGTAGCCATCCCAATAAAGATGTCAAGAAGATATTAGAGTACATCAATCTGGAATATCCAGTACATACACATTAAGTCCTAGAGTCACCAGCCCATAAATGGTATCTATACCTAAAAGACTAGATGAAGTCACCTTAGGGACAGAATGTAGCTAGACAGCCCTGGGTAGGGAGGGGTCTCCAAACTTTGGGGATTAGGTAGAGTAGGAGACAACAAAGGTGTTTGAGAAAGATTGGACAGGAGGTCTGAAAAAAAATCCTAAATATTATACAAAGTTCTTACAGAATATATTCAAGTACTTAAAAGGGTAGAATTGGACACAATTTTACCTAATTTCCAAATATTCAATTGCAAATAAGTCATAAATAAAGAAAACATGTCTACAAAAACGAAATGTAATGATATCATTGAGTGCCTGCTCCATGTCTGGCATTATGTTGGCACTGGGAGAGTGAGGTGAGTGAGAAAGTTTCTCTTAAAATGAAGTTTTCAATTTATCGTTCCATTCATTCTATCAAGAAATATCTAGCAAATGCCTTTGAGGTACCTGAAACACGCTTAATTAATAGAGATATAACTGTGAACAAGACAGACATACTCATGAAGTCTAATGGAAAAGATAGCATTGAATACACCATTTTAGTGTATAGAGTGCTTTGGGTACTTA